CGCAGCCAGGCTCCGCAGGCAGGCCCCTCGCCCACAGTGCGATCGCCTGCATTAGTGCCTGTGTTCCAGTCCAGTGCGTTCTGCAAAAATTCTGCGAGCACTATTTTTGCAGATCGCACTGGACCGGAATGCAGGCACTAATGTGGGGGGGGTGACCCGGGACCCGCTGTGACAGAACGGACGAGCAGTGAGGGGAGATAGAGGCGCCGGCTGTCAGATCCTGGCCGAGCGTCTCTCTCTCCTCACCGCTCTTCATTAGTTCTGTGACAGCGACTCCGTCCTCCGCACTCCCCCGCCGCCGGCTCCTTCACTTCTTCTCGGAGAGCAGCGGGGATCCAGAGAAGCGGCGGGAGGAGAGGACAGTGCGATCTACCAGTGATCGCTACGCGATCGACTGGTAGATCGAGATCGACCTTGTGGGCACCCCTGTTCTAAAGCTATACGCGTGGCTATTTACAGCATACAGATTTTTTTCCCCATGCACCCACACCTCTTACTGTCCCTTTCCTACCTAAGGCATTGCATTTCATTGTGACCTCAGATCCTGGAGGTTAAATGTACAATTATCGATGCCACAGTTCTGTCCTCTGCCTTTCTCGCAGCATTTAATTCCCTTATAGGAGGGTAGAGTCTCCCCTCAACACAATATAGTAATTCTAAGGAAGGGAAAACTAATACAAACAATCACTTTTGCCTGGAGTTACGCTTTAAAACAGAGTTCGGCAATTTCATTGGGTACATGTATGGAATAAATAGAGGCTTAGGGCTCGTTTTCCTGCACATCTGACTATTTATATCAGTCTGTCTATGCCCAGATCCGTGCACCTGTTCCTGTATAAATGGCTACCACATGCATATACACATGCATGTATGCCACTCTGTGGCCATGTGAATGAGTCCTTATCAATTTGGAGTGTCTACATATGTGCAATACCCCAAAAGCCAAAGTGCAAACAAAACTTCCCCTCTCTCTCTCCCTCTCTCCCCCTCTCCCTCCCCCCCTCTCTCTCGCTTTTGGGGTGTTGGACACATCTAGGCTCTCATGTATGACCACCATTGCAATCTGTGCCCTTGTACCCAGTTGGAGTGAGTGCAGGAGGCAGCCGCAGATGTCTCTGCTTCATATCTGTAACACGGCTATATGTTCTAAAGCTATATGCGTGGCTATTTACAGCATATAGATTTCTTTCCATGCGTTCCACCATATCAAACTTTTAATTGCTGAATCCTGTGCAGCACCCCCGCCTCTCACTGTCCCTTTCCTACCTAAGGCAGTGCATTTCATTGTGACCTCAGATCCAGGAGGTTAAATGTACAATTATCGATCATTACGTTGATTTTATTTCCTTTTTAGCTCTTATTCCTTATTTCCCTATTGACAGCTCCTGTACCGGAGGGACATTCGCATTCTGCGCTCTATACATTGGCGGTTCTCTTTTCAGAGCTTCATTAATTTGTCTTTCCATCTGCTGGTATTGATTGTATCCATATAGTGTGAGCTAAGTAGACCAAGAACCCAGCGGCAGTTCAGTACTCGGGATGTATGGATATAGATTACCCTCATTTAAAGGGAAAACTGTATTGTATTGTGTTAGAACACTTCTTTTCTTTCCTTCCTCTCTCTCCCTTCTCTTTTCTCTTCTCCCATAGTGTTGCAGCTTCCCAGGCTGAAGTGGGGCAGCACCCCTAGTTATCCTCGCTTGCACTTCATTTTCATCTGTTGGTCATTATTGGCGCTTTTGATTTTTTTTTACTGTGTTAGAACACAGTTTAAAGATTTACCTTTAAATTAACTTGTAGTGATTGGGAAGTTAAGAAGGTCGTATGGAGACATGATGTTGCCCCTTTTTGACAATCTCCGCCCTTGTGGCATGGGATTATTTTAGAATCCAATTGGGATTTTACACGAGCATGCAGTCTGCTTTCTGTGCAGGTCTACGTTTAACTATACAGACCACCTTATAAGAGAAAGAAGAGATGATCTAGCATTTCCTTCTGACTACTCTCAGCCTCCCCTGCACTCCCTACACCTCTGTTGCTGAATTTGGCCCCCAATGTCCATGGTTTGACAGAAGTGAGATACAAAATGAGGAAAACCCTCACCCCGCTGCCCCTGGCAATAGCCCACTATTGCCAACATGGTAGATACATTCCTGAAATAGATATCTGCCATAACAATGGTATTGCTTCCAGCTAGATATTCTCTGTGGCCAAATGTATGTGGACACCCCTCCAAATTCAAGTTCAGGTGTTTCCAGTGAAGGGTACTGCTAATGCTACAACATACAAAGACATTTTAGACAATTGTGCATTTCCAACCTTGTAGTAACGGTTTGGTGAAGGACCTTTTCTCTTCCACAATGATTGTGCCCCTGTGTACAATGCCAGCTCCATAAAGACATGATTTGATGATTTTGGTGTGGAGGAACTTGAGTGGCCTCCACAGAGCCCTGACCTCAACCCAAATGAACACCTTACATAAATCAGCCGACTGTGAACCCGGTCTTCTTATCCAACATCTTACAAATGCAGTTTTGTTTGAATGGGACACATTTCTACAGACACACTTCAAAATCTCCTGGAATGTCTTCCCAGAAGAATGGAGGTTGTTGTAGCCACAGGAACGGTAGTGTCCTTTTCTGTTCCAGCATGCCCGAGCCCCTGGGCACAAAGCCAGCTTCATAGAGACATGGACTGATGAGGAGGAATTCAAGTAGCCTTCACAGAGCCCAGTCCTCAACCCTTCTGAACACCTTTTGGATAAATTGAAACGCAGCGTGCGAGCCAGGCGTTCTGATTCAGCATCAGTACCACAGTGCCACAAGGAGCGGTGTGGCCCTGTTCTGTTCCAGCATGACTGTGCCCCTCAGCACAATGCCAGCTCCATAAACCATGGACCGATGGGTTTGGTGTGGAGGAACTTGAGTGGTCTTCACAGAGCCCTGACCTCAACCCTACTGAACACATTTGGGAGGGGGCTGTACTAGGGAACTGACTCTCCTGGAGAGGTCAACCAATTGTGAGCCAGGTCTTCTGATCCAACATCAGTACCTGACTTCACAAATACTCATGTAGAACGCCTTTCCAGATGAGTAGAAGCTGTTGTAACCCCAAAAGGCTGAAGGGGCAACTATTATTGCCCGTCATGTTTTTGGAACGAGATGTCTAAGAAGCTCATACAGGTGTGATGGTCTGGTGTCCACAAACTGGGCCATAAAGTGTCCAGTTCTGCATGCTACGCTTTTTGTGCTGTGTAGCTCTGTTCAGGTCATGTAATCTACAGAAGTATATAAATGCTGTATTTGGAGGGCACCAATATCCATCTTAATAGAATTCAGAAGGTGCTGCAGTGTAATAACTGTTAATTTACATCTCCTTCTCCCAGGATGTCTTGCTGCTGTGGAAACAGGAGAAAGTGTCAGTTTCTATGGTAAAATCTGATTTTCCTCAGACGTGTACTCATTAGTCTTCTGCTGTTTTTACTCGGCTTAATATAGTGCTTAGTTTTCAGCACCCTCCATGCGGCAGTAAGTAGACGGTGATCTTCTGTGTAGGCTTAACCCTTCCGCATCATTAGGTAGCCGTACTATCTGGCTCAACCCGCCAGGTCAATCTGTTTGGGTGTTTTATGTTGTCCTTTGTCTGTTTAATGAATGAATAACTGTGATGCGTGATCGGTGTTTGATACAAATATATAAAAGGACTTCCAATAAAAGTCACACGATTAAAATTTTTGTTGGATTAAAGAACTGCGAACTCTAGAGAGACTGAATGGTTTGTTTTATCAGAACAAGGGAGTGGCTTCAAGAGAACCTGTCATCTAATTTAAGAAATTACATTTAAAAGCACAGAAAAAAAAATCAAGTATTTTAAACTCTTAGGCCTCATTCCCACAGCTAAGTGCCGGCCCGTACAGATCCGTGCGGCGTGCACAGCCGTATCTGGCCTTTCCCGGGAAGGACTGGTGGTGCGTGTGATTGTACGCAGCAGCCTGTTCTTCTCTATGGGAATATACAGCTCTACACTTACCCAAACTGCACATCTGTGGGGACGGGGGTGTCAGTGCTCGGACGCAGACAAGATTGATCCTGTCTGCGTCCAAGTACGGATACCCACACGGTTGTGCAGTTCGGGTGAGCGTACAGCCGCATCCTCCCATAGGGAAGAACAGGCTGATGCGTTCAGTCACACGCATACTATAGACCAGGGGTGGGGAACCTCTGACACTCCAGCTGTGGTGACATTTCAAATCCCATGAGGCATTGCAAGATTCTCACAGCCACAGGCATGACTCCCAGAGACAGATGCATCAGGGGATTTGTAGTTTCACCACAGCTGGAGGGCCAGAGGCTCCCCACCCCTGCTATAGACTTCGCTGGAGTAGCAGCTCTGAGTCTGCTGGGGCTGCTGATATCACATGCAAGATGGCGGCGCCCAGTAGCAGTCTCGGGGTTTTTGGATGTCCTTTATAAGGGGTGATTTTGCAGGTAAATAATATGAAGAATAATATGTTACTGCAAATATATTCTTATGGGAAGAGTTTTGTTGAAATTAATGCACTGGTGACAGGGTCTCTTTAAAGGGGGATTAATACATGGCAGCTTCCATTCCCTTTTAATTATTTGCAAAGGGAATGTAAAGTCTTCATCATAAAATGTTATTGGCTGCATACTCGCTCTCCTACTATAACCAAGAAGTGTGACTTAAAATGTCCTTATAGCTGCTGCTGTGACTTGTAGTTCTCCTGGAGGTTTCCCACCCTATACTGCTTGAAAAACGTCTGCAAGTTCAAACCCAGAGATCGCTCATCCTTTGTACCTGACTCCAGCTCCCTCTCCCACTTCCATTAGTGCTGTGACAGACCTTGTGTTAGCAGGCAGCGGGCAGGCCGGTCACTGGCCTAATTTGCGATTGGAAATGCTTCAGGAAGCGCACGCCGAATGTTGTGGAAAGTGCTGATGCGGCATTTGTCTCATTTCTGCTTGTCTGGGTTGTTTCAGGAGCCGGCACCTATGACAGAAGACCTGCTTGAGGAGCAGTCCGAGGTTCTGGCCAAGCTGGGCACCTCTGCGGAAGGGGCGCACATCCGGGCTCGCATGCAGAGTGCCTGTCTGCTGTCTGATATGGAGTCTTTCAAGGTACAGGAAATAAAAAGATGGCTGCCCTGTGTGCTACTCAGATAACGACCTTTTCTCATTACAGGTTTGGTGATAACAAATCCGTTTTCTCTAGATGCTCCCAATCTTCCCGTGTCTGCCTTTAAACTACATTATCATAAGGACCACATTTTATTAGCCATTCCAATCAAAACTGAATTTTTTATATTGGGGCAGGGAGTCATCTCAACTGCAAAAGTTTTCACTGCCGCTCAGGAGTAGATTTCCCCCTAACAATGGCACAACCATGAGTATCCGAGCTTGGATTTTTGACAGGTTTTAATCTGGCCATGCACTGCTCATGTCCCAGTGACTCACCTGGAATTCGAGCTGCGGGTGGCCCTGACCGCACCCACTCCATTCGACAAAAGTCTTTTTTTTTTTTCCATTTAACTTGCTTTATCATCCAATCAGGTACTGCACCAGTCACAGTTCAGGTATTCTGACAGCTGCAGACACAGGCTGTCAGAATACAATATTTCAGCATGGGAGATTCTTAAAGTGTGGCTCGGGAATCCAAACAACTTCTAGTGCAGTGGTGGCAAACCTCGGCACTCCAGCTGTTTTGGAACTACAAGTCCCATGAGGCATTGCAAAGCTCTGACAGCCACAGACATGACTCCGAGAGGCAGATGCATGTTGGGATTTGTAGTCTTGGCACAGCTGGAGTGCCAAGGTTCGCCATCACTGTTAGTGTATGGCGGACTTTGATGACACTGCCCTGTGTGAACTCTTTATATTCCTATAGAGTCCACTAGAGGGCGCCTGAAAACTGGAGGTGTCCCTCTGACACAGCCATGGGGGAAATCTCCTGATTAAAGGGACAGTAGAAATCATCCAGAGAATTGATCCCTGCTGCACACTGTCCAAAACTGGGAGAGCTACTTTTGGGGCGAGTTGCTTCTTCATATTTATAGTACCATAGGAACAATGATGCACTATTTAAAGGAGCCTCCACTGTTTGATTTGTACCATCCTGCAGGCTGCTTGATGAGATTTATGACTCGTAAGCAGCCTTGTGTTCTGTAACTCTTCACTTTTGCTGGATTCATATAATAAGTGAAGTGATCAGATTCAAAATAAACACATAAATATGTTGTGATCCCGTCCCCTCTCTCTGTAGTCATAGTACTAGGGAGCATTGTGGTAAGTGTGACGTTGCATAAAGATCCCTCCATTGCACAGTATGTCCCCTCCAGTGTGCGCCCTGACCTCACCCATTTCTGTAAATCTTTGTGGTGAATTGGAACACTGATGGTGAGTCAGGTCTTCTCCTCCAACATCAGTAGCTGACCTCACAAATGTTCTTTTGGCTGAATGAACACAAATTCCCACAGACACCCTCCAAAATGTTGTGGAAAGTCTTCCAGTGAAGAGTCCTATTCAGACAATTGTGCATTTCCAGCCTTGTAAGAACGGTTTGGTGAAGGACCTTTTCTGTTCCAGAATGATTGTGCCCCTGTGTACAAAGTCAGCTCCATAAAGACATGGTTTGATGAGTTTGGTGTGGAGGAACTTGAGTGGCCTCCACAGAGCCCTGACCTCAACCCTACTAAACGCCTTAAATAAATTAGAATGCCGAATGTGAACCAACATCAGTACCTGACCTCACAAAGGTTCTTTTGGCTGAATGGACACACAAATTCCCTCAGACACACTCCAAATCATGTGGAAAGCCTTCCTGGAAGAGTGGAGGCTATTAAAAGCTACACAGAGGGTGCAACTCCACATTAATGCTCCTGGTTTTGGAAGTTTCTATAGGTGTGATAGTTGGAGGCCCACAAACCCGTTGACCATACAATGTATGATTTTGCTTTCTGTACTTGTATTCCGATCCAACCCATAGTCTGTGTTTCCCAGGCTGCAAACCCCGGCTGCTCTCTGGAGGACTTTGTGCGTTGGTACTCTCCCCGCGATTACGTTGTAGAGGAAGTGATGGATGAAAGTGGCAACAAAGTCATCAAGGGCGAGCTGAGCCCCCGAATGAAAATCCCCAACAACATGTGGGTAGAAGCGTGGGAGACGGCCAAGCCGACGCCAGCTCGCAGGCAGAGGAGACTCTTCGATGACACCAAAGAGGCAGAAAAAGTAAGTTCAGTATTGTCAGCCTCGCACGGCATTCATGGCACTTTATTTTACTTTTCATTAAAAACCCCAAAGTTATGACCAATATGATGTCACCATTTCCCTACCCTGAGCCTGTGCACGCTTTACCGCTGAACTCCAAAAGGGTATAAAAACCAATGTAGTTATGTGGTCATCTAATATAATACAATTCATCTTTAATTGCAGCTATTGCAGGTACCTGATTGTTACTTGGTATCAGCGGGGGGGAGAGAGAGAGAAGGGGGGAGAGAGAGAGAAGGGGGGAGAGAGAGAGAAGGGG